CGTTAGAGGGTGGCTCACAAGCAGGGCAGCCGCAATGCGTCCAGAGCAGCACCCAGTGCGCCCGATGCACCAGATAGAGCACCAAGTGCAATCAACAGTGCACCCAGGGTGCTATGCAATGCACCCTGTGCACTACCCAGTGCACCCAGCACACCATGCTCACTCAGCACCCTGCAGTGCAGCACAGCCACCACGTCACAGGGGGCTGAGCGTGGCGGCGGCATCGAGCAGGGCTGGAGGTCCTGGGTATTTGGCAGAGGCAGGGTGGGAGCGGGGAGCAAGGCCTGCCTGGCAGCGAGGTTTTGGGCAGCAGAGGTGCGGAGCATGCAAGGTGCAGGGTGTAGGAGTGTGTCATGCTTCCACGTAGCTGTTCTTGTAGGGGCTGTGCTCATGAGGGGCAGCCGGGGCTCCAGGTATCACAGGCATTGGGTGGTTGCTGCTCTCCCAGAGGGGCTCGTAGCTGTCCTTGGTGGGCAGCTCACTCACGTAGCAGATGCTCTCGCTGTAGTTGGGCGTGAAGCTCTCCATGACGTCTTTAGGGACTCCAACCCATTCCTCCAAGGAGCAGAGTGGGGTGAGAGGAGCCACCACTCAGCCCAGCCCCAATCTCACTGGGCAGGAGGTGAGCCCTGGGCAGAGCTGCTTGCCTTACCTGGAAGTTGCCATTGTGTGTGATGAAGATGTCATCAAAATTCTTGCTGGGGTTGGGGATTCGGGGCATGAGGATGACCCACACCCTGTGTGGGAGAGACGTGTCAGAGGGGAAGAGCCCCAGCATTGCTGCCCCCCACCAGTCCCCCACGCTCACCTTTCCATGCGCACCAGTAGGACGACAAGGACCAGCAAGAGCAGGCAGGAGGCAATGGGGATCAAGATAGTGTGGATCCAGAAACTGTGCAGCTGCTTCTTTGCCTCACCTGGAAAGAGCCGGGGTGACACGGGCCCTCGGTGGGCGCAGTGCCACGGCAGGGAGGTGGGCACACCAGTGGCCTTTTTTGGGTGGTTCTGGGAGCTCAGCATTGGCCACGGCAGGGCTCAGCTAGGAGCAGAGGATGAAGAAAGGGCCTGTCCCCAAGCCCTGCCATGCTGTCACCACAACTGGCTGCTGACCCCGTCCTGGACTGGCTATGCCAGAGCAGCCCTCCAGGGCTAAGAAACCTCTGGCAAAAGTCACCAGGTCCTGCTGGCAGGGGATGTTTGGCCTCAGAAGTGCAAAGGATGCAGGGGCTGAGGCTGCTGCCTGCGTCCCAGGTGCCCAGACGGGTCTTGCCCCTACAGCTGCTGCCCCAGGCCATTTTTCTGCATGCTTGGCTGTCCCTTACCTGCTGAGTCCCACCATGCTCCAGCCCATCCCGTCCTGCTGCAGCCCCCAGGACCTACCCTTGCCAGTGGAGTTGCTGCCCCAGACCACGGGGATGCTCCACTCGCTCCAGAGCTTGGTGCTGCCACAGTAGCTGTTGATCTTGCTGCGCACGTAGAAGGTGTAGTACTTCTCATAGTCCACGCTGGGGAAGGAGAAGATGTCTCCTTTCACCAGATGCTCCTGCAGAGAGTGGTAGGCCATGTGATGGGGGCCGGCACTGCTGTGGGGGCTGGTGTGCAGCTCGTCCCCAGGCACAATTGCCAGGGTGCCGTGTTCTGGAGGATCTCACCGTCCAGCTGGTGTCCTTGTTGCTCTTGTACTTGACAGCATGCTCCAGGCAATCGGCTTTGCGGTACGGGGAGGTCCAGGTCAGCTGCAGCTGGTTGTTGCTCATGTTGTGGACTGTCAGGTTGACAGGCGCGTACGGTTTCACTGCAAGGCACAGGTAACGCCCGGTAGGTGCTGACCCCATGCCCCGGTGGCCCTGCTGCCAGCCGAGACCTTGATCGGGCAGCCCTGGGGACTTGAAGCCCTGCTCCTGCCCCGCAGAGAAGAGTGGGTGCCCTCCACCACTCCATACCCAAGTCCTGCAGCTGCATGTGCTCGCTGGGGATCTCCAGGGTCTTGCCGCCGAGGCTGGCGTTGACGAGGACGCGGAAAGTCTGGAACTGGATGATCTCGCTCTGGTTGAAGTGGCAGCCAATGCTGGTGCCCTGGTCCTGCAGGTAGTGCTTACACTCCACCATGGGGGACCTGTTCTCGTACCTGTGCCGCAGTGGGTTACTGGGGCACCCCGAGACCCTGCACACCCCAGCCCTACCTGGGATCCCTCTCCCCAGCGCATCCTGTCCTGCTTGCCCTGGAGATAGTGCTCTGGAGACAAAACCCTGGGCTCAGGGAAGAGGAGCAGGCTGATGCTGGAACCAGTGATTCTGGCAGTAGATGCCGCACCGGGACCCACCCCTGGACACCCTGCTGTGGGGCTGGCCGTGGGGCCAGAGCACCTACCAGTAGTAGAGGGAATAGTTGGCTGTGAGTGTCTCTCTGCTCCCCCACATGCAGGTCATGTACTCCTCGTTGAAGAAGACACACTTCACCCCTGCAAAGGACAGACACCACAGGGCACCGTGGCAGTGGGTGGCTGCTCCAGGGCTCAGGGGTGCACCGGGGAGACATGGTACATGCCAGGGTTCCCTGCACATCCCCATCAGCCTTCCTCCATGTGAGCCAAACAAGCCCAGCTCTTCCCGGTGGAGCTGCAGTGCAGCCTGCCTGCAATGCCAAGCTCCCAGCTCTCTGTGACGGTGATGCCTGGGCTGCCAGCAGCCCCACATCTTCCTCCAAAGGACTGCTGGCCAAGCATCTGTCCATCCTGCATCTGTGCCATCGGCTCCTCTTGCTCCGCATGTGCAGTTTCACCCCAATTCCTCCATCTGCTCCCCTTAGTCACCCCATAGCCACTGTCTGCAGCCCCTGGCTCTGTGGGACAGGACAGAAACCTCTCTCTGCCACCCCATTTTGCTTCTTCTATGAGAAAATTGGGAGGCTTCCAGGATTTGTTCCTGATGTGTCCATCCTGACTAAATTAATCTCGCTGTTAGCCTTTTGGGTGCTTGCAGGTGCCCCTGTGTCTGGGTGACGGGGTCTACGCTGATCTGTGCTTCCCACCACAGACCCTCCACCACTCAGACAGGGCCCAAACCCTGGTGGTTTGATCTCTGGAGGAAACACTGCTGAGCCCCGGGAGGCCAGGCAGCAGCTCCAGGCACCTACACCAGCAGCTCTGCACCCTCCTTCCGCTGCGCTGTGCCAGCTCCACTCCTGCCCACGCAGCCAGAGGCCACATCCTGAGCTGGCTGGGGGCTCAGAGCCACCGAGGCAGCGCTGGTCCACAGGGCAGTTATCACACCACAATCCATTCTGGTGGCTGTGGCCGCAGCTTGCTCTGAGATGAGGATCTCTGATGGACTGAGGCGCCTTGCAGAGCCCTTGCAAGTGCCAAACCAGCTGCTAGCAGCTGAGAGCTGTCCTAGAAACTCCCAGAAAATTGATTTTTCCCTCTAAAAGTCAGGCAATGGGACACTTGGTCCCTTTCGAGGACCAAATCCATCAGCCAGCACTGCAGAAGAAAGTCAGAGCTGGGCTTTTCTGGGTTGTAACATAATGCAACACAGCAAACAGGCATTGTACTCCGGCTGTTTCCACAAGCAGACATGGAGAGCACCTTCCTGGCAGCCCAGGAGGTCCAGGGATACAGAGAGGCTGCATTTCCATGGAAAGCTGGTGTTTTACTGATAGCCAGTCAAGAAGCGGGCTTTTTCTCAGAAAAATGATGGCTGGGGTGAGGGTGCTGAGTGGAAAGAGGAGCCGCTGTCCCCTGTTCCCTGCCTGTAAGTGGCACCACTGACATGATCGAGATGGGAAGGGTGGCTGGCGTGGATTTGCCAGCTGCTGCCCTGCCTGGCTGACGCACAGGGACGATAAGATCTGCACATTGCATCCTGCCGCTGCCCCCTGCTCCGGCCTGCCACAGAGGATCCCCATGGCCAGGGTCCCTCCCAGCAGCACTGCCTGCAGGGCTGACAGCACCAGGGCCAGCAGAGCTGTGGGGCAGGGAGCTGTAGGGCCAGGAGAGCCACAGGGCTGGTAGCCATGGGACCAGTGGTGCCAGCAACGCTCCAGCACCAGGGTGGAAGCAAGGACACCCAAGGGTGCCCCGGGGCACAGCCCGGCTCTCCCGGCAGCCCCATCACAAGGGGCCATGTAGGTGCTGGAGATCTCAGGGTGCATCGAAGGGCAATGGGGTCTCTGCCACACATCCCAACAGCTCACCGGCCCACGCAGCCTCACATCCTGCCCTTCTTGTCCGTCATCACTAGGGAGTAACATCTCCCAGCCCCACTACCCATGGAGTATTGTGGCCTCCCACCCCCCTGGGGCCCATGTGCCCCCTTACCTGAGAGACTGCGGGCAGCAGCAAAGTAGGGGCCCAGCCCGCAGAGGAAGAGGACGGGCACGAGGAAGGCGCTGGTCGCAGCCATGGCGGGGTGAGCCGTGGCGTGCGTGCGAACAGCCTCTGCGCACAGCCCAGTGCGCAGGGCCTCCGTCTTCCGCACCCCTGCTGCTTCCTGCCCCATGGTACCGCCTGCCACCAAGGGGCCCACCCCTCTGGGTGCCCACAGGTCACTCCAATGGGGACCATGGCTCACCAAACTAGGGTCCCATGGCTTGTCCCACTGGGGATCCATGAACCTTGATATCCAAGCCCCATGGTTTACCCTTCCAGGCCCCATCGGCACCCTGCCATTCATGCTGTCTTGTTCCCA